TATAATAAAGGCAACTATCACTTCGTGAATGGAGGAGTTGAAGAAGCCTTGGAAAAAGGCTGCAAAAATTGCAAAGCTAATGAGAGGGTGACACGTATGCAATGCATTAAATAGAAAAGACAACTGAAGCGCTAGTACTGTCATAGCATTGATTATGGCAAAAATTCCCTTTTTAATGAAAGATCCACTTCCCAGATATTTAATTGATAAATAAATGGAAAGTGGGGGGACTATCTGTATTGGGAAAAAACTGAATTTAAATATTGAAGGTGACGTGTCATGACACGTGGACCGGTCAAATAGTCAAAACGTGGTAACCAGTTAGAAGACACGAGCAACAACAGACGCGGGAGAGAAGATACTTAAACGTGGTATCCCTAGCTTTATGTTTTTAATACTATCAAATGAAATTTATGAATTTGAAACCTTATCTAAAAATTGAATGTATGTGTCCACTCGAACCTAGAGGATATTTTGATAAACTGCTAATGTTTCACCAATCAAACCTTATTGTCCATAAATTTCTAAATGGTTCGCCACAGCTAATTAGGTTGACAAATATCATCCACACACCTAGTAGTACAATTAATGTTTCAAACGACAGGTGGCAAAGTAGAATTTTTATGGTCCAACACTCCAACTTGATGATCTTAGTTAGAGGTAATTAAGAATATAAACTTTACAACTCATTTGAATAAAACAGACCCCTCTAGATTTAAAAAAAAAGGTGGGGGGTGTATTTCATAACAATTTGGAGTCCACCAAATAGTGGGGGATAGCTAGACTGGTCATGGTTAGGAAACCTAAAATTAATGGGTTTTTTTATTTTAATTGAGGGAGGTAGTGGTAAGGCACTTTTGATTAGCACGAATTGTTATATTGAGAAGTACTGTACTCTAATATGTTTTGGCTCAAAATGCTCCTTATTCCAATCTGGCCTAAACCAACGAGCTGACAATAAGTTGGTGTTAATTTTTTTAGGGTTAATTATCTTCTATTATTATGGGTCTCTTGTGCCCGATTACCTGCAAATGGCAACTAATACTTATCAGATCATACGATGTTTGTCTAAATAAATAATTGCTCTCCCATTCTGTAGTCATTATCTTGCAATTATCCAGAGCACGTGGTACCTTAGGTCCTTCGTAAATCTGCTAGTTGACATCCAATTATTACTCATTTTTTCCACTTTTTGAATCCTCCTAATTTTTCATGTCCCAAGTTTCTATGTTTTATTGAAGTTTACTTTTTACATTTACATTCATAAGAAAACGTTCTATGCACATGGAAATTGGCACGATACGCATGTTATGGAGTACATGTTTATTTTATATTATAAAGAACTTAAATAGATTCCTTAGAAGACATCTAATAAAAAGAAAAAAAAGTGAGTAGGATGGAGATTAATGGAGCAACGGCCAATACTGATTTTGGCATTTATCAAGTTGATTAATGGAGAAATATTTGCAACAATTGGTTAAAAGACAAAATAAAAAGAAAAGGTTGCCACTAACACATAAGCCTATGAACAAATTTGTATTGGGAAAAAACTGAATTTAAATATTGAAGGTGACTTGTCATGACACGTGGACCGGTCAAATAGTCAAAACGTGGTAATCAGTTAGAAGACACGAGAAACAACAGACGCGGGAGAGAAGATACTTAAAGGCACGAACTATTATTCAAATGAAACGAGACTCGTACCTGTTCGAGTCATTTAAAGTTCGAAGATCAGAAGGAATTGGAGACATGAATCTGATAGCGAAAAAGAGTCCAAATTCAGCATTAAATGCCAAATACGTTAGAGAATTTGTATTTAATATGAATGATTGAGTAACGTTTCCTTCAATATCATTTATTGCTCGTAATTGCCTCATTAAAGCAAAGGCATTACACTTTCTCTTAAAAATTAACTATAAAAAGAGGAAGTCACAACATCTGTAGGACACACAAAAAACACTACTGGAATATACTTTGTTTTATTTGCTTTCTGATTATATCATTCAAAATTTCTTTCTTATACACTTTTCCGATTATCAGTAACCCGAGTTCTTCTAAATTCGAACTTTGACCTAAAATCTAATTTTTGGTTAAACAAAATTGTTAAACCTAATCATTGTATGCTTTTCCTTTTTCTATAAGTAATGTCGTTTCATGGATAATGAGTAAGGAGTATTTCTCCCTTTAATAGATTTTACGTGATAAAAATCTATGATTAGTCGACAAATTATAAATACTGATTGAGAAAAAACAAGTCATTTGTTATAAAATAATAAAAGAGAAGAGTATTGTAGAGAAAAGTAGGGAGGGAAAATTCTTACTGATTTGGGATAAATTACAATGGAATGGAATAGATGTGACTTAGCCATAAAGTAACAAACCCAAAAATTTCTCTAAAATATAGACATTCACCATAAATAAAAATATTGTTTATAACACTCCCCCTTGAATGTCTATTCAACAGATAATGTGCCTCATTAAAAGCTTAATTAAAATAAAACCCAATGGGATAAAAATTATAGAGAAGGAAAAAGAGTACACATGTTTAGAAATACGCCTTTTAGTTGCCTCGTTAAAAACCTTGCAAGGAGAACCCAGTGGGACAAAACCTTGTAAGGGAAAAAGAGTACAACGCGTATTAACTCCTCTGATGAGAGCATCAATTTACATCTTTGAGTCTATGCATTCCAATCTTGTGCACCATCTTCAAAAGATCGTTGGCAGAGATTTGATAAACAAATCAGCCATATTAACTTGAATGAATATGTTGTACCTTGAAATCATCATTTTTGATAGATGTATTGTCTTCGTATGATCTTGTTGGAATCATCATTTCAATATCTTTATATATGGGTAAAAACTCTTGCTATCATATTATCATGCTTGTAGTTATAACAAGATACATATATGCACAAATTGTACTGAGGATGTGGTGCTTGTATATGGTTTAAGCAATTTATTGCAGATGAATTATCTTTTTATGAACTTCAACTTCATATTATCTTATTCGAGGATCTAGATTTACAAATGATAATTCATCTGTAACTTTTTCTCAATTGTTTATCATATCTCCCCCTCGTATTAGAAAAAGTGTCTTGTTTCCTCGACTTTGGAAACCCACCTTTATGCGTAGTGTTAATCAAAATATACACTGCGTATCAATAATAATAAGCTGGAATATTTGGTTCCTGACCCTGAACCACTTGTGAAGGGAGAATATAATATACTTTCGTATAATGTGTATATCAAACTGATATAGATAACTTTGTTATCATAAGCAAAGGGAGGCACTTAATAAATTATTTTGCTATATCAGTTGTGATGTAAACCAACTTATCAAGATAAACTGTCTTGAATAGAAAATATGGAAATTATACTCAAATTAAATTATTGAGCAAGTTACCTCGCAAACACCAGGTTGCGGTTAATAATAATCGCACATGTAGCCATCTCATAGATGCATCTTATGTGGTATACATGGCAGGTGATATAGATAACTTTGTTATCATAAGCAAAGGGAGGCACTTAATAAATTATTTTGCTATATCAGTTGTGATGTAAACCAACTTATCAAGATAAACTGTCTTGAATAGAAAATATGGAAATTATACTCAAATTAAATTATTGAGCAAGTTACCTCGCAAACACCAGGTTGCGGTTAATAATAATCGCACATGTAGCCATCTCATAGATGCATCTTATGTGGTATACATGGCAGGTGAATGAGCCAACATTCACCTTTGATATTTCTAGTATTCATGAGATTCAATCCCAAATTTAGTTGGTCTATTATTTAATGAGAACAAAAACGATATAAGAGAATTCGTATAGAACTTTCTAGTTCTTTAATATTTACCCATGTGAATGCTCTTTTATTTTTGCACATCATACTTAAATTGATATGGCTAAATTAGTTATGTCAACTGGATAAATTATCAATATTGATAAACTTTAGGTTTACACCATGACGTGTGCAATTATAAAATATTCCAAGTTTATTATGATATAGGTTTTTATATCAATAAACATCCAGTTTACTGCACCATGTGATTTAACCATATTCTTTATTTGTGTAGTACAAATCAGGCAATAAAGCAGATAGTTTTCATATACATATTACCCCGCTACAGTTGCAGTAATATAAAGATATTAAACCTTCTGATTATTTATAGTCTCTATATAGCCGACCGCTTTCCCGGATACTTTAAAAACTCAATAAGTTTCTTTGAGACTTAGCACAACACAATACCTTATTGATAATTAATTTTATTCCTCCAAAATAGTAATAATTGGCTCTTCCAGAGCTCTCAATTAATTTTGTACTACTACATATTCGTCAACATACGTATGGTGAATATGTCTTTCAAGGAGAAAGTTATACCATTATTGCCATGGTCAAAATCATTATTGGCAAGATATGTTGCTTCCATTACTTTTGCCCTGTAATAATCACATTGCCATAATATTTTTTGTCACATAGGACTCCAGATGCTAACCCCCATTTCATCCAACTCACCTCTATACGGTGTGTGACTTACTCATCGATATCCCCGTCCTCCTGGATAACCTACCCAAGGTACTTGAAACTGCCTCTCTTGGGGATGACCTGTGATCCAAGCCTCACGTCCATACCCACTTCCCTCGACTCGGCGCTGACCTTGTACTCCAGGTATTATGTCTTAGTCCTGCTCAACTTGAAATTCTTAGACTCAAGGGACTGTCTCCAAACCTCCAGCCTCTCGTTAACACCGCATTGCGTCTCATCAATCAGGACTATGTCATCAGCGAATAACATACACCATGGCACCTCCCCTTGAATATGTCGTGTCAATACGTCTATCACCATAACAAATAAGGACAGGCTGAGGCAAGATCCTTGTTGTAGTCCCACAACAACCAAAAAATGCCCCGAGTCGCCTCCCAGTGTCCGAACCGGAGTCTTAACCCGTCATAAATGTCCTTGGTCGCTTTAATGTAAGTTACTGGCACACTTTTTGCCTTCAGGCATTTCTAGAGAACCTCCCTATAGGGACCTTGTCATACATTTTCTCCAAGTCAATAAACACCATGTGCAGATCCTTCTTCCTATTCCTGTATTGTTCCACCAACCTTCTAATAAAGTGGATAGCTTCCGTGGTTGAACGACCCGGCATGAACCCGAACTGGTTGTCAGATATAGACACCATCATCCTCACCCTCACTTCTATCACCCTCTCCAAAACTTTCATGGTATGACTTAGTAACTTGATGCCTCTATCAGGCGGCGACAGCCCACCCCCCCTCCACACCCACAGCATAGAGGAGTTGCTCCAACATCTGCACTACAACCAAGAAAAATGCTCTCCAGAGCGATATATGATGCTAAATCGAGTACCCCTATAGTTGTTACAACTCTGGATATCAGCTTTGTTCTTGTACAACGGTACCACCATACTCTACCTCCACTAATCCGACATCCTCTTCGTCCTAAAAATAACATTAAACAGCTCAATCAGCCACTTTAAGCCTGCTCTACTCACACACCTCCAAAATTCTACCGGAATTTCGTCTGGCCCGGTTGCTCTGCCCCTACTCATCTTATGCATAACCCCCACAACCTCTTCAACCTTAATGCGCCTACAATATTTAAAGTCTAGGTGACTCTCCAAATGCCCCAAATCACCTAGCACAATATCCCAGTTCCCTTCTTTATTCAGAAGTTTATGAAAGTAAGTCTGTCATCTCCGTTTAATCTGAGCCTCCCCCATCAATACTCTACCGTCCTCTTCTTTGATGCACCTCACTTGATCCAGATCCTGAACCTTCTGTCACACCTCCTTTTTCTTACTACACCCCCGGAAGGGTATAATAAATGGGAGTTATTTCCAACTTGAAGTGACAATCGAAACGGGATTATTTATTAAAAGATTCAGAGTCGCCACTTGGGATATTTATGGTGTCCCAAGTCACCGGTACAAATCCCGAATCGAGGAAAGGATTGACTCTGTATTACAGTCCGCGAACCAGAAATCCGGGTAAGGAATTCGGTTAACCCGGGAGAAGGTGTTAGGCATTCCCGGGTTCCGTAGTTCTAGCACGGTCGCTCAACTGCTATAATTGGCATAATTATCTGATTTTAAAACATTTTGAACCTATGTGCAGATTTTAACTTTAACCGCTTTTATTTAATTTTAAGGAAGATTGCAACGTTGTTAAAACACATCTCGAACCACGTCACATAAATGCACCCGTGATTTTTGACATATTTTAACATCGTTGAGATTTGGATTTGGGTCACATAAATGTGCACCCGAATTTAGGAAAATAGATTATTAAAATACGCGACTAAAGAGATTAACGTGTTGATAACTTTGCGGGAGGCCATGAAAATTCGCTAAATGGCACGTACCGATTTTCTAAATATTTTAGAGAGTAATTAAAGAGGGCCACGCGATTAGTGCTTTTATTTGGCGCGGCGCACCTCGTTTTATTTTAAAGGTCATCCTAAAAGAACTATCATTTTTCTATTAAGTTTCATCTCTAGAAAACCTAATTAATTAACATTATAAAATTCGGGCCTCAAGTTCAAGTCCGAACTTAAACAGGAGGAAGACCTCTTAATTTAAATTCGCTACCTAACTTGGAAGGCTTAGAATTGCATTACCAATTATAACTTTTAAGAATATCAAGCCTTCAGCACATTGGGCCTTGAGACCAGCCCAAGAAGGAGGAACTTTTGGTCAAGCTCTATAAGGAGCTGCTCGATTGTGGGTCTCTGCACAGACCCAAATATAACTAGCCTATTAATAANTCCTTACCCCTAAATTACATAGCCTAAATCAAACTAAACCCCAACCCTCTTACCTTGGTCAGGATTTGACTACAGTTAAATTCAAAGGTTTTGAATTATTCAGCAACACACAAACAAACATTCAATCATAATAAATCCCCAAAATTGGGATGTGAATCCAAACAACTCTAATTTGGACTTGAATTAACTAACTAAAAATCAAAATCAACAAGTACTATTGGCAATTCTAAAAATCAACGGAAAATTAACACATGAATTAATCAACAACTACTGAGTCATGAATTAAAACTGACTTAGTATGAACATAAACAAAATCAAATTAAAACCCTAAATCAATCCTAAAACAAACTAACAAATGCATACCCCGAGCAGGATCAAAACAAAACAAACCAGGATTCCGAAATCAAAACAAAACAAACCAGAGCAAAATTAAACTAACAAAATCAAAACAAAACAGAAATCAAAACAGGATTAACCATAAACAAATCAAAACAAAAAATTAAACTAACAAAAATCAAAAACTCATGAGAACAGAAAAAGAAATAATAAAACCAGGAAGAAAAACTTACTGATTTGGCATTCTAATTGATTGAATTCGAATCCGGTCTTCAAGTAATGTTATGTGTTTGTTCTTGCCAAGAACAAACACATAGCATCATTTCAAGACCTTTTCGAACACTGGAAATTCGAACACTCTTGAACGGAACGCTAGATCTAAAATTCGAGGAGTTGCGGTTGGATTTGGGGGAAAATAGTTTGGGGTTTAGGTGGAGGAGGGTGAGACGGTTGTGGGGTGTGATTTTGGTGGGGTTTAGGTGATGGCGCCGCCGTGCACGGCGGCGGCGGTGCCTAGGATTTTAAATATTTGAGATGTTTGGGTGATGTTTGAAAGAAAACAAGTCCAGATGAACTGAGGAGATGAAGGAGAAGGTGTGGTGTGAATTTGGGGTTCATCGGAGAATCGCCGCCGGCGGAGGCAATTTCCGGCAGGCGGCGGACGGCGGAGGGGCGGTGGTGCTAGGTGGTCTGTATCAGGGGTGTTAGAGATGGCGATGAGAGGGGGTAGGGGGGAAATCCGACAATTATATATCCTAAACCTAGTTAGTTCCGGACCGTTGGATTGATGAGATCCAACGGTCGTGATTAATGAGCTATTAAACTGCGTCGTTTTGAAGAGGGGGTGCTGGACCGGGCTGGATCATGGATTGGACCAGATTTTAAGTGGGTTTGGGCCAATTTTGAAACGGGGCTTGGGGGTTTTGGCTTGGGCTATCCGTTTGGGTTTTGAAATGATTAAATGAAAATAGCCCAAAAGTGGTAACTCCCTCCTTTCCTTTCATTTTTATTGCTTCTTTCTTCTTTTTTCTTTTTCTTTTTCATTTTCTAATTAGATAAAAATCAAAATTAATTCCTAGCACTTAATTAACTAAAAAAGACTAAAAAAACAAATTAACACAAAAACTACTCAAAAACAAAGCTAGAATTAAAAGTGCAAATTAAACTACTTTTGTGATTTCTCCATTTTATGAAACAATTAATTTTCTAATTAATCCTAAAAATGTAAAATTAAACCCTAAATGCACATGCCAAGTATATTTTTTGTATTTTTCATTAATAAAAATGCACAGACAAAAATGCAAACAATTAACATGAAATGCCATAAAAATCCACAAAATTGTAAATACTAAAAGAAATTATTTTGTTTTGAAACTATGGGAATAATTCATATAGGGCAAAAATCACGTGCTCACACCTTCCTCTCTCTCGCCTTAGCCAACCGAAATAACTTCTTATCCTCGCTTTTGTCTGCCAGTTCCTCGTACAGACGACCAAATGCTGCAGTCTTAGCCTTTGTGACCGCCAACTTCGCCTCCTTTCTCGCTACCTTATACCTCTCTCTCTCTGTTCGCTCCTTCTCCTTCTTGATCGTGCTCCCTACTAACTTTAGGTACGCCGCCTTCTTCACTTCCACTTTGCCTTGGACCACTTCATTCCACCACCAGTCGCCTTTGTACCCGCAAGAGAAACTATTCGAGACCCCTAACACCTCTCTCTCCTCCTCTTTACACAGTTTGCCGTCGTAGTCCACATAACGCTCGCGTCCCCACTACTCCTCCAGGCTCCCATAGCCGATAACCTCTCCTCCAATTCTCGAGCTTTATCCTTAGTCAAGGCTCCCCACCTGATCCTCGGTCGTCCTCGAACAGACCTCTTCTTCCTCCTTATCATGATACCTACGTCTATCACCAAGAACTTATGCTGCGTCGCGAGGGTCTCGCCCGGGATAACCTTGTAATCCTTGCACAAACTTCTATCGCATCTCCCAAGGAGGAGATAATCAATCTGAGTCTTCGCCACCGTACTTTGGAAAGTAACCAAATGCTCCTCCCTCTTCGGAAAACTAGAGTTCACAATCACTAGCTCAAATGCATGAGTGAAATCTAATAGCGAAGTTCCTCCTCCGTTCCTATCCCCAAAGTTGAAGCCGCCATGCACCTCGCCATACCGTAAACGTGGGCATATCTACGTAGAGGAGAAGGGGTGGTACGCCACCGGCACGCTCGGATAAAAATATACATGTATATAGTACTATCTTGCAGAAAAAGAGTATATATTTAAGGAGTGGCACCTTAAGTGACAAAATGGTCAAATGTGCCATGGTTGGAGACCCAGTTTTCCATCTAGCACGCCCAGGTTCAAAACTCATTAATGGCCAGTCAATTATACTTTTCCTCTTGACCCTACTTTCATTTTTTTCAATTCTTCTCTTTTTCTTAATTTCTTTAATTTTCTTCATCTTTGTATTTATTCTTTTTGTACAACCTCATTTTTATCTTTTGAATTATATATTGCTTTCGTTTATTTCTAGATCTCAAAATTAATTCTTATTTGAATATGATTTTAATGTTTTTTCTTTTTAACCATCTAAAGTTATTTTTCCCTTGATTTTAGATAAAGGAACAAACATCTTCAGTTTGGTTATTATGTATTTAATTATGCACCAATAATCTTGTAATGAAAAATAATTGAAAAGATTAATCCAAACTGAATTAAGTTAAGAAAGAGCGAACCAACCAGATGTATACTCTAATTCAATCTTCTTGATAGTTGGTAGATTTATGTTAAAAATAGCCTCTTGCAGAAATACAGGGTAAGGCTGCATAGAATAGACCCGTGTGGTCCGGCCCTTCTTCGGACCCTGCGTGTAGCGGGAGCTTAGTGCACCGGGCTACCCTTTATAGTGGCACCCGTAGCCAATCAAATCCTGAATCCGCCTCTGAGCCTAAATATCTAATTCCTAACTCCAACATTCTCTAGTCTTTTTCCTTTTTTGATAATATCTTACTGCTCCATCCAAATAAAGTTAGACATTTTTTTTTCCTTTTTTTGGGTACCTACCAAAAATTAGGACTCTTTTCTTCGTATGAAACAAAATATTCTTCTTTCACAATTCAAGCCGGTAGCTATTGATATACCACACTTTATATTATGCCTAATTTGATTTGAGAATATTAGCGCCTAACTAATTCACCTTTTTGTCAAATTGTGCAAATCAAAAACTCAAAATAAACACTTGCTTTATAATTTATTGGAAGGAGGAAGTAAGATATCTCAATACTGTACTTTTTCCTGCATTATTTCAATACTGTATACTCGGTTTGAATCAAATACAAAACTTTAGGGATAAAAACGAACTTCTGGCCAGACTTTTGGACTAAATTAGTGAATTGCCAGCTAAATAAATTGTACTTTAATAAAATAAAATATTGAAGGTGTCGGTGTGAACAATGAGTACACTCAATAATGAGGATCTCTTATCTCAATTGACTAATGGGCCCCCATTTTCATCCTCTGGCCCAGCCAGGACCCACCACCCATTTCACTGCACGTCATATCGTGTAGCGTGTATCCCACTTCCCGATTTGTCCCTTTTGTCTCAGTCGGAAACAACCGCAACGATCAAAAAAAGTGTTTCTGTAACTAAGGAGTTAGCAGTAAAAAATAAAGCAGAAGCTTAGCCAATCGATAAAGAGAGAACAGACTCTGCCACCGAAAAAGGAAAATTACGAAAAAGGGAATCGCCAAGGCACAACGGTCTATGGTGATTATCATTACCGATAAAATAACGGTGCTTTTTCATTGCTAATCATTGTGTTGCTTTCATTTTGAATTCAATTTTGGGGGAAGAGGAGAGGGGGATATTATTAGGGTTTTGAATTTGGGAATTAGAAGGGGAAGGAAGGATGACGGAGGTGGTCGTCCACATATATGATGTGACGAATAGTGGCTCTGATAAGACCAACAACACAATTGTTCAGATCAACAAGTTTTTCAAAGACGGCATCGGTCTAGGTGGCATCTTCCATAGCGCCGTCCAGGTTCACTACTTTTACCTTTTGCCCAATTTGTTGTTCTCTGTTGGTGAATTGGATCTAGGGTTTAGTAGTGGAAATTCGGCATTGGGACTTCTGTTATTGTTCCGTCTTTAGTTGCTGGATACTGAAATTTACTGATTTTTATTGTGTCATATTATATGTTTGATGCCTGGGAATATTTAATTAAAGGGGATCTGGTTGAATGTGTTCGTGGTATATTCTCAAACATCTCTCTCTTTTTTTTTTGGGTCAATTAACATTTCCATAGAGCAGCAAAAAGAGAAGAAGCAGAAACAACCAAAAAGCATTTAGCACATAAGGAGCTTTTTATTTGTGGATCTAGCAAAACAATTTACTGTATCTAACAAAACATTTTAGTGAGGAAAAGATTTTCTAGAACTATCAATTTTCTGTATGATCTGCAAAACGACAAGTTCCTTTTCTTTCTTTTCTTTTTGCTTCTCCTTTGACACAAAACTAGTTTACGTAGTGGACCATTTTGTTTTGTAGTTTCTGGTAAGTAAGATATTAGTAACCACTTTTGTTAATCTTCTATCTCCCATCTGTGACTTTAAACTGAAACTGTTCTTGAATGGTTGCTTTTGTCTATACAATATTGAGCCTGGAGGACTTGATTATAAAAAAAATTCCTCAGGTTGAGTTCATGGTAGATGTCAGCAGTTGTAAAAACATATCATCTAGAATTATTAAAGCTGAAAGCAGGTTTGATGTATATGACTTACCGTTATATCAATTGTCGTCTTTGAAATCTGTTAATACTTGAAAGGCGTTCAGTTCCCAAGGGGTGGCCTATTGGTTGAGGCCAGAAGCATGAGGATAATAGTTCTAATCCTAGCTATAACACTTGGTGTGAGTCCATCTATCCCAACATGACATAATCATTTCCTTTTCACCATCGGGCATCTATAAATACATAAATTCTTGGAAATCTCAGTTTTCTATTTTTTCTGCTGCAAGATTAACTAATCAATTCTCACCTATCGTCTTTTCAAAGATACAAGTTTTTATTTTCCTTCAATCAGACTAGAATGGAATGAGTTCCCAACCTGATCATTGTAAAAGATTTCTCCAAATTTTCAAGCCATATATGTGGTATCAGTGTTGGCGATAATGCCTGTCCTGTATCAGTGTTGTCACAAGTGAAAAGCTCTAAAAAAACGCTCCAGGTCTATTGGGGCTTTAAGCGCAAAGCATAATTTAAGTGTGGGCTTTAGTAAAAAAACGTGCTACGATGGAAATAAATAAAAATATATATTTAATTTAAGAAAAAATTAACAAATTCATTCATATTGGTTTCCATAAGACATTATACACTTATTTGCGATTATATTTGTTGTTTAGTACCACTCCATTCAAGATAGAACTCATGGGCAATGGGTGTGCACGCCTTAGTGCCTTACCTAAATTGAAGCGCAGCTTAAGCGAGGCGACCTCCCCAAGCTTTTTTGAGCTTCAGGGCTTAAGCACGCTTTAAATGAGCCTTTGACAACATTGATCTGCATGAGATCGTGTCCACCTGATACTTCCATACGTGGGGTTATAAATGTATTAATAAGCCCTATGATCCTTGCAGTTTACCCAAAAAGTGATTGAGTGGCAGTATTGCTTCACAGAACTCAATATCTAATGTATCATGTATCATTTTATGACTTAAAGTAAATGCGAAAGCACTGGTTAGTCTACGCCGACATTCATTGAAAGAACTGATTATCTTTGTTATAAAAATTTAAGACTAATGATAACTGCTTTTTTCACATCCTTGCATCTTGAATAAGATGTCAAAACTGTGCTGATCCTTTCTAAGAGCTTCGCAATTTGTCTGACCTAGCATTTTCTTCTGATAACTGACATATGCAAAGTTGTAAGCACGATGTCCTGTTTCTAACTCTTTCTATTATCAGGATATATTGGTTCTTATTTGCAAAAATCTTGCATGGTCTCATCTTGTGTAGTGTCCCTTTAAGCTCATTTGATGGTGTCTTCAGTTCTCTAACTTTTTGCTGAACTTTTGTCTCTTGTTAGTCAAACGAGCTTTTTTTGTAAAAATGTTGCTCTGGCTATACTGTCTGTAGCTCCACCTTGTGTTTTTATCCTTTTGAGTTTGTGTCTTAATAAATGTGAGATTTGACTATATTTTACACAGGTTTATGGAGATGACGAGTGGTCATTCGGGTTCTGTGAGCAAGGTACTGGAGTTTTTAGTTGTCCTGCTGGGAAAAATCCAATGTATACATACCGTGAATGCATTGTACTTGGAACCACAAACCACTCAATTTTCAAAGTGAACCAGATACTGAGAGAGCTTAGTAGAGAGTGGCCAGGACGCTCATACGATTTATTGGCAAAGAACTGCAATCACTTTTGTGATGAGTTTTGTGAAAGACTTGGTGTTCAAAAGCTTCCTGGTAATCTTTTTCTCCCGCCTCTCTGTTTTCCCTTGCCTGTTGATCTCTGTTTGTGCTATAACCATTTTAGTCTACAAACTCTTAGTAGTGAACTTGAATTTTGTGCAAATGTATGGCCACTACTTTTGGTGTCTGGAGAAGTACTCAAATTATTATGTATTTGCTATTTCATCATTTTCAATTAGGTGATGTCTGTTCACCAGTGAGATGTTTTACTTTGAAGACAGTTCTCGGTTGCCAATTCTCCTCATACTTATTGAAGCCCATGGAAACCACCTTTTCTCGGCTTTTGAATTTGACATTTTTACTGAATGTTATTTCTTTCATTCCAAGTTCAGTTTCCTCTTTTTTTAATTTTTATGATAAGGTAATTCCTTGTTTCCTAGTTTGGCTTCTATGAATAAATTGATTAATGAACATTCAAGCTTAGAGCAAGGTGCAGAAACATGATGGAAACACTGTCCTTTAGATTGCCAAGAACATGATCCATGGTTTGATTTAAATGTTGGACCCCTAATATGAGGAGCGGGGAACACCTAATATATTTTGATTATCCCATTGAAGTGTTCAGTAAGCAAAATATTCCGTTACCAGTAATTGACACTCAATTATTTTGTCCACTTCCTATACATCAGTCAAATTACTTAATGCTAAATTACATAAACTTATACGTTTTGAAACATGTATTGGTGATGCCTTCCC